ATATATATATATATATATATATATATATATATATATGAATTGTCCCCCAAAGACGACTCGTGTACTAAGAACACCAAAGTCATCAATACGTTAATCCATTCATGAGTTCATCACTGAATATGCTATCACAAGGTGGGGGAGTCTCAGTGGAGGAAATAGTTCACTGGGGATGTGACTTTGAAGGGTATATCTCTTTCTGGCTCTTTTCCACGAACTCTGCTTCCATGAGGCAAGCAACTTTCCTCCACCGTGCCCTTCTACCATGTTTCTGCCTTCGAGTCAGCCAACCATGAACTGAAATCTCTGAAACCACAAGCCAAATCAAATCTTCTGCTCCTTTACATTGTATATCTCAGGTATTTGATCCCCCCAACAATATTCTGACAGATAAACCTAGGGAAGTATGGGCCCGAACTCCAATGGAAATGTCCTTGTAAAAGACAGAAAATGAGACAGACACAAGAGAGAGGTTTAATTTGGCTTATGGTTTCAGGGGATTCGATCCATAGTCACCTGGTTCCATGGTGGAAAGGTGCAATGGAGCAAAACTCCTTAGTTCATGGTGGCTGGGAAGCAGCACATGGGAACAGTGCCAGACAGGATGAATGTAGAGACTGAGGCATGGAAATGTGGGTGGAGGCATAAACTAGAGCAATGCAGCCACAAGCCAGGGTCACTGTAGCTGTAAAAGGCAAGGGAGGAGCCTCAGGAGGGTGTACAGCCTGCTGATGCCACGTTTGGGGTTCCAGGCCTCACAGAATGGAAGAGAATCTATTTCCATTGTTTTAAGCTAACAAGTTTGTGGCCCTTGGCTATGGAAGCCTTAGGAAAAAGGCACAAGACACAAAACCAACACATGTCCACTGTGCCACTCTCTGGGAGTAGTGGATGGGACTGGGGCTGGAAATCATCAGTGGAGACCCTGAGTTGTTTCCCCAAATCCCCCGAATTCCTGAATCACCTGAAACCATGAACCACACCTGTTGCCTGGGTACTGCTGCGAGCCCACCCCACTGACTGGCTATCTAGGGCTGGACACCTGTGTGACATGAAAGAGACTGAAGGAGCCTAGACACTTTAGGACTCCCTCACCACCAGCCACTTAGTGTAAACTGAGGCCCAGAGAAGGTGAGTTCAGATGATTTAAAGGATCTCTCAATAAGGGAAAGGCTACCTTCATAAAATTGCTATCTGACCTATTGTGTATGGTTAAGGCGGAGTGTGAACTTGACTGGTTTTGGCATCCGCCTGCATGGTTGGTGGAGCACTTCTGGGTGCGTCTGGGAGGTCACAGGGGTGTAACCCTGGGGCCTGTATCTGATCCCTCCCCATCCCTCCCTGGCCCTGTTCCCCTGCTCTACTTTCTGGCCTCCATCAACTAAGCAGCTCTACTCCACCTCGCCCTTCTATGATGGTTCTGCCTCGGAGCCAGCTGACCATAGAATGAAATTAAATCTCTCCTCTTTTAAGCTGAGGATGTTGGGTATTGGGTCTCAGTGTGACTAAGACAACTAGATACTCCCCTTTTACATCTGAGTAGACAGTAAAAACCTGAGTGTTTAGTGGTCACTGCTGAGAACATGGGCATTGTCAGGAAGCTAAATGCTTCTAGGAAATGGGGGAGCCCCAGAGATAAAGCCCCCAATTTGCTGGCCTAAAATTGCAACAGGATCAGGAGAGCAAGATGCCCCTCACGGAGTCCTTGCTCTCCATATCTAATTTAATGTGCGGAACTTAGAAAGTACAGATACCTTCTAGTCTTCTCTCCTCTAGCCTGAAATTTCCATTCCTGAAAACATCTTCCCTTCTGTGAGATGATTTTCAGGAGCCATGCTAGGGAGCAGTCTGTGCACACCCTGGCCACAGTGACCCTTGTCCAGCCTGGTGACCCCTGTCAGAAGACCTGGGGGCGGGCAGCCCCCGAGGGCATGGGGGAGGGGAACCTGAGGTCAGCCCCGCCCCATCCTCCTCATCAGCCCTGCAAAGCCTGGCTGCCACCCCCACAGGTCCAGCAAGATGACAGCCCTGTACCCCTCCTGAGAGATGCTCGGAGCCTCTGGCGCTGTGGCCTCTCCAGGCAGTAGCAGGCTGCTCCGAAGTGCAGTTCAGGATCTCTGATCTGCTCTCTTCCCTCCTTCCTGTGGCTGTGGTATTCTGGCTCCCGCCTCCCACTCCCGGAAGCCCTGTGGAGCTGTCACCTCTCTCCTCACCCCCAGAGTTGACAAAGTCCAGACGGCTTCTCAGACAATTTAAGAGCCTTCCTAGGAGACTCTTTGAAGCTGCTTCAAAGCCAGCAGTGGTGTGAGCAGCCACCCAGTGGCAGGAAGGCCCCACACCCCTGGACCACCCAGCCCCATGAGGGGCAGCCAGTCACTCCCCCACTGTAGTGCCAGCCATTACACAGCAGGGCTATGGGGTCCGTCCTTTGGGGATGAAGTGAGGGCTGCAGGGGCTGCAAGGCCACCATTCTGGGCAAGCACATTGGTGGATCCTTGCTCTCCAGCCAGCAGCCAGCTCCCCCTGGCCACCCTCAGCATTACATGGGCAGAGGAGGAAGGAGGGAGGGATGGAGGCTCCACAAGGACTTCTTCCAAGTAACACTGAGCTTCAAAAGGAATCGCTCAGAAGGAGCCTGGAACAGAACCACTCCAGGACTCGGGGCCAAGAAAAGACACACTGGGCTGGGGCACATTAAACAGCAGGTGACTGTGCAATGCCAGGAGCAGGTGGTTGTAGGAAGATGACTTCTGTCCTCCCCCTTCCTCCTCACCTCTGTTCTCCCAGCTGGGGAAGGGGCTCATTGAGTCTCTTCCCACCTTGTTCCTCACTGCCACTGCCTAGCCTTCACTGCCCCGCCTTCCTCTCTTGCTTCATCCCCTGCAGCCTTAGTTAAGAAGATGGGAAGTTCCTGCCCCATGAGCAGCATCATTTAAACAGGCGCCTGCAGGGTGAGCCCCAAGCTTCTCCATCCCCCTACCCTGCAGTGTCTGCCTCATCCTCACCCTTGGCCTGGAGGCTCCCTGGCCAGCAGGGAGACCAACGCAGCAGCAAGGGGCCCCAAGCTGTGGCTCACTGCCCCCCTGCTCCCTTAAGAATCCACTCCCCCTTCCCACCCTGTGGCCTGTGACTTCAGAGCTGGGGCTGAATCTCATCAACAAGAAATCTGAAGCCATTAAAATACAATAAAAGAGAAATTAAATGTAATCACTCTGTAAATTATAACTAATTGAAACATCAATTGTAATTTTTATGATCTGCATTGGAGTGAGTGATGCCACAAAAGGAGAAAGGACAGTTAAATGATGGTGGAGGTGTCCTGGGATGCCCTCGGCCTGCACCTCCCGAGTCTTCCTTCCACTCTCTCCGAGGCCTACCCCGTGGTGGCTCTTGGAGAAGTCCCCCAAAGTAACTCTCCTCATGCCTGGAGGCCTGGAGTGCAGTCCTTTGCTGCACCTTGCCCTTTTCGTACAAGGCCAAAGCCTGCCCACTTCCTGCCAGGCCACCTCAGGCCGAACTGGTGGCTTTCCCTATTCCCCACATTTGTGTCAGGACCTCAGACCCCACCCTGTATCTAAGCCAGTCATCAAGTGCCAAGCTCCAGGCACAGAGGGAGGGAGGCAGCAACCAACCGAAGGTCTCCAATTCTCCGCTTGGTCACACCACAGTGGGCTTTTGAATCTTGAAGGACCAGGAGCAGGGCCTGGATCCTGGGCCTCCTCCCATTCACACCAACCACCCGAATCAGGGTCACTTCTGCCCTGGCTACCCGAAGTGGAGCGCCAGGAACCTTTCCATTTCCAGTCCTTAGCAGATCAAAACTTTTTAATATTTTTTGTTGAGAGAGAATTCACACATGCAATTTTAACATGTGTGATTCTCTGGATCTCCATATATTCCTAAGGCTAGGCAGCGGTTGACACTGTCTAAAAAACTCCTCCTCATTGTGCTCCCTCAGCTCCTGGCAACAACTGGTCTACTTTCTGTCTCTGTGGACTCATCTGTTCTGGAAAATTCATCTCAGTGAGATCCTACAAGATGTGGCTTCTCTCATGTAGCATTGTGTTTTCAAGGTTTACCCAGACCTGTGTCTTTTTGGCGGTTAAATCATATTCCAGTTCATGGATATACCATATTTTATTTATTCATTCATCAGTTGATAAACACTTGGATTATTTCCACTTGGGGGCTATTGTGAATAATGTTATAATGAAAATCACTGTATAGGCTTCTGGGTGGATGTATATTTTCCATTCTCTTGGGGATAAACCTAGCAGTGGAATTGCTGGGCCATGGGGTAAATATGTTTAATATTTTTCAGAAACTTCTATCCAAAGTGGCTATATCAATAAAACTTTTGTAAAAAGAAGATTAAAAATAAATTTTGGAAAAAAATTTAAATTTAAAATAACATACGAAACACAGCCTAATGTTTGTTCCTATTAAGCAGGCATAAAATTATTTGCGAAATTGCTAGGCAAATCTCTAAATGTTTCCTCTCAATTTCTGTTCCAACTTGGTTGAGGGCAAGTAATGAACAGTTCTTGGACTGGCGCTGGTCCCTGACCACACTCAGGGCAGCCCAGACCTTTCCCGTCTTCTCTAGCACCTCCCGGATAGGGTGCAGGCCCTTCGCGCGGCTCGAAGTCCCTCCTCTACCCAGCCTCTCCAGCCTCTCAGGCACCGGCCACACTGGAGCTCCAGGCTGTCCCCAGGGGGCCTCATGGTACTTTCCTGCCCTCCCTTATTTCAAGTCTTTGTCCAAATCACCTCCTCTAGGAAGCTCTCTTATGCCCCAGAGCTGGACTCGGCACCCCCTCTCAGGCATCCCAGTACAAAGCTCTGCAGTTTTACTCCCCTGACTGCCAAGTACAATCCAGGCCTGCTTACCTCTTCTCCACTGTCAGAGCCTCCTAGGCAAGGGCTTTTCTTAGGAAGAGAAGCATCCAGGGAATAAGGTGGAGGTGTAATTTGAGGTCCAGGCCAGGGCACTTTTCAGCATGAAAGAGGGAGCCCTTAGTTATTACGCCAGGCGTAGATCAGAACTGCGCTGGAGCAACAAGAATGTGTAGTCATTCTGCCAAGGAACCTTAGTCACAGGGAGGCGTCTATGGCAAGGTAACAGGGAAGTGAAGAGACAAGAAGGTGACAGCACTGGGAGGGCCAGAGCAACAGGCTCCCTCACTCAGGACCCATGTGCTTCTCTGCAGCCCCTTGGTCTGGTCCCCCTCCTCCGACACCAGTGACAATTCCTCAGGGTGGGTTGGGCCATATCTCCCCAGCAGTTTCTCCAATCCCTATTTCCTAAGCAGATGGCCTTCTCACGTCTCATCTTCAGAGGCTTTTGGCTTTGATACGGATCCTAGGTTCCACCAGACATGGCCAAATTTTCAGAGTCATGGAGAGTACACTACAAGGAAAGAGGGGATTCCTATGGCCGCTTGCTTCAGATGGAGACATAGGTGGATCCAGTACTTCAGCATCTTGCAGACAGTCAATAAGAACTGGGTTTTCCTCTTTGTACTTTGGCACCCAATCTAATGAGCACTCCCTGAGAGTTGAGTGGGTGGGCAAATGGATGGATAGGTATGGATGGCTGGATGGCTGGAAGGACGGAGGGATGGATGGAAGAATGGGTGTATTCAATCTTCACTACTCTGTAACCACCACCAATTGAGTTTCCTAGAAACCAAAAATTCTTGGGTTAGTCAGCCTGGAAACATTCAACCAAAGACATCTTTGCCTGTCAAATCCAGGGAAAAGAGTGATGAGAAGTGAAACAGTGTATGCCCCTGGCTCCGCTTGTTCCTGGGTTACAAAGCAGCAGGGTCTCCCCAGGCCTGAGATTTGTAGTTCCTTCTTAAATGCTGGGTTTAATGGGCATGCTGGGGAAAAATGTTTTTTATTGAGTGGTAAATGTCTCCCTGGTGCCCAAGGCGGTAATTACATCAGTGGGAAGGTCTCTCTTTAATGTCCTCCTCGCCAGCAGGTAAGGAGGGCCTCTGGGCAGAGGGGCCAAATCAAGAAGCTGTGGTCAAGGGGATTTCTTGGAGAAAATTGATAAATATAGGGTGAAAACAGCCTCAAGAGCCAGGGTGCTGCACAGGTGGCCAGGGGTGTGTTTAGTGTGTGAATGCTTCAACTTCAATTATTGTCAGTCAACAAACCTTATCTAAGCCTCTAATCGTAATGCGGGCTAAGCTCTTCTGTGCCAGGTACTGCATTAATTACTCTACAGGAACATTCTAATTTAATACAAAAATGTTTGTAAATCATAGGAGGCAGATGTCATTATCAGCATCCCTTTACAAAAGAAGGAATTGTGGCTCAGGGATGTTAAAGAATTCCAAAGGATGGGAATAAAGAAGTCTCCATCTCTACCTGGATGGGGACACAGGCAAGGACAGGAGAACCAGACCAAACCGAAACCGGATCAGTTTCAAAGTAAACCCTCTATTAAATTATAAAATACACAAAGCAGCTGGATCTCAGTGCACTGTCTGGCAGGTTTTCACAAAGTGGGCGCTATGGAGAACCAGAATCCCCTCATGTCCCTTCTAGTCCGGCTTTCCCCGAAGGTAACCATTGTCTTCGGCTTTGTCATGGCGCGTTAGCTCTCTCTAAAGCTGGATAATTTGTTGGGGAGTAGTAAGGGCCAAGGAACCACAGCTCCACCGGAAGTTTGCATCGCACAACCCGTAACCTGGACCAGACTCCAGGAGGTGGCGACGCCTGGACCACACTTGATGAGGGGGTGAACTGGGGTGAGGGTAGAAGTGGAGAGTGGGCTGTGTGTGCACACATGCGGGCCACATGCCATCACCCAGGTTCACTGGTTCCAAATCTTCTACCCCCACTTCTGGCATCTGTTTAACAAAAATAAATCCAGTCAAGAAAGACATAGGAAGCATTGTGTCCTATGCCTGTGACCCCAGCACTCCAGGAGGCTGAGGCAGGAGGGTTACAAGTTGGAGCCCTGCCTGGGCCAATTAGCGAGACCCTCATCTCAAAATAAACAATAAAAACAAGGGCTGGGGATGTAGCTCAGTGCAAAGGCCCTGGGTTCAATCCCCATACTGCCAAAAAAAGAATCTTAAGAAGAAGAAAAAGGAGGAGGAGGAAAAGCAGGAAGGTGGCATAGATTAGTCCAGGGTTTCTCAACCCATATGTGATTTGTTAACATTTTGGGACAGTGGGTTCTTTGTTATGGGGCCATCCTGTCCCCTGTAGGATGTCTGGCAGCATCCGGGCCTCTCTGCATTGGATGCCCACAGAAACCCTCCTCCCAAGCTGAAATGACCGAACTCTCCTCTGTTCCTGGGGGAAGAGGATAAAGTCACCCCTTCACCCAGAGCGCCTGGGTTAGTTGACAAGAACTGCCACAGGGACAAAAGCAAAGGACAGAGGACTTGTCTGGCCCTAGAGGGATCCTGGTCTAAATCATGCCTGTAGGCAGAGGGATAGGGAGGTTGTGCTCAGGAGGACCTGCTTGACTCAGCCTTGCAGAAGCCAGCAGACACCTGAGAAGGAAGGTCCCTGAGCTGTCCCAGGCAGGATTTGCTCCCTGCTCCAGGGAGATAAGGAGGGAGCGGCTTCCTCGATTGAGATCAGATTTCAATTAAAATGATTAGCACTGTTTATTTAGACTCCACAGCTGCATACAATCTTTGCGTTATTGTGAGTTAAAGAAATAAAGGAGGGGCTTGGGGAGAGGGGAAGCAATTCAGCCCAAATTGAAAAAGTCCTACTGCCATTACAAGATTGGAGAATATCCACCGGGGTGGTGGGGGGGGGATCAATAAAAGGAAATCTAAGTGCCACTGTTCACCGAGATTACAGTTCTGAATCGCTCTATCCTGGGTTTTAATTTTCTTTCTCATTGTCATGTGGCTATACAAGTTGATCCCAGCCCTACCTCCCGGCTTGAAGGGCACAGGCAGTGAGCCTGGACCAAAGCAAGAAGATCCACACATACCTGACCTTCTGCATGATGTCTTATTGCTGGGTAACAAATCACCGCACACTTAGTGCTTAAAACAGCACACACTTATTAGCCCATAGTGTCGATGACACAAAAGGCTGGTGAAGGTTTATCCAGGTCTTCTGCCCAGGGTTTCACAAGGCTACACTCTATGTGCTGGCTGGTCTGTCTCTCACCTGAGCCTCAGGATCCCTCTTTCACCATGTGGCCATTGGCGGAATTATTACCTTACATCTGTGGAAATCCTAACAGCTTTTTCTCCGGGCCAGGAGGAGAGAAAGTCTCAACTTCCAGGCCCCCTTCTCAAGCATTTACCTGATTAGGTCAGGCCCACCCAGGATAATCTTTCTTTTGACGAACTTAAAGTTAATTTAATTGGCTTCTCCAAACTCTTTTCTGCTTTGCCATATTCTATTAACTACAAGCAAGTCACACACCGGTTCTAGTCTCTTTTCTGTTGCTAAAACAGAATACTGCACACTGTAAATTATCAGCAATAGAAATTCATCTGACCTGTGGTTCTGCAGGCTGGGAGGTGCCACAGCATTGTGTGAGCACTAGAAAGGGCCTTCCTGCTGCACCCTAACATGGCAGAAGTGCAAACAAGCACACACACAGCAAGAGAGAAGGCCGGGGCTAGACTCACCTTCTATCAGGAGCCCACTCCCATGCAACAGCATTGATGCATCCATGAAGGTGAAGCCCTTGTGACCTAATCACCTCTGACACCATTACACTGGTAATTAAATGTCAACATGGATCTGGGAGGGGACATCTGAACCATAGGATTGGGAAGGGGCCTTTTGAAATGCCCACCACACCTCCCATCAGAGCTCTTCCCGAGTTCCACCCCCCAGATTCCCAGAGCTGGGCCATGACAAAGTGTCCTTCTTGAACCACCTTACACCCACGGGCCTTTCCAGCCCCAGCCTGCTGGCCTGACCCCAACAAGCAACCCAGCAGCCAGCCTGAAACAATTCAGAACCTTCTCATATGAGGGAAGTGAAGAGAGCAACCAAGATATGGTGTACTCATTTGACTCCTTGTCCAGTGCTCTTTCCTTCAAACCAAGTTTTCTCTCACTGGTCTCTAGTCTTCACTCAGTCCAGAGCCCCAGGCAGGATTGCTGGCTGGCTGCCCTGACCTGGCAGCCTTGGCCAGTTACCTTCCTACTTCTCAGGATGCTGAGCACAGGGAGAGATGCACAGGAGCTTTTCCAAGATGCATGAGGAGAAGACCTCACTGTGCTCAAAAGACACATACTTCTTTTACCATGGTACTGCCAGGATTCCACATCTAAGACAGCTGCTCCAGCGCCAGCCATCACACCTACAGGCCAACCAACAGGAAGGAAGGAGAGAACACACCCGTTCCCTCTATACTACTTCTCCTTATACCCTATTGACCTCAAGTTAGCCACTAATAACTGCAAAGAATGCAGGAATATGTAGTTTTACTCTGGATAATGCTGTATAATGGAGGAAGGAGGCAGTGCATGTGGAGATGCCTGTTCTAACTTTCCTCTACCTTGTCTGTGATTTAAGGGATAGGATTTTTCTTTTGTATCCAAATACTTTCTGTAGCCTGGATGTATGCTAGTCTTTGATTCTATAGTCTTATATAGAGAGAATCTATATATCTATATAGACTCTATATATAATCTATTCTATATATAATCTGTATAGATTCTATAGTCTTTGACTGTTTCATCAAACACAATATGTATGCATTCTTTCCCTCACTCCTCCTCTTACTCATTTTTTCATGAGTTCATTCATGCACTCATCTATCAGAAAGTCTCTTCTGTGCCTTGCACAGTGCTGGGCATGTGGTCAGCATTCAGAATATAGAGGGAAAAGGCCAGGGTTGTAGCTCAGCAGCACAGTGCCTACCTGGCAAGCACAAGGCCCTGAGTTTGACACCCAGTACCAAACAAAAAAGCAAACACAGAATATAGAGGAAAAGGCACAGAGCCTGCACCCCGTTTTCATGCAAGCTAGCAGGGAAGACTGCCAAGGAAATGTAGCATTTTAGCACTTCGTGCTATGTGCGTGTGCAAAGGCTGCCCTGAGTATATCGTGGGCCCTGACCCATGTTGGGCTGGGCACGGGTTCCAGGGGAGGTAACATCCCATCCAAAAACCAAACTAGCTAGGAGCAAGTGGCCCGCCAAGGTGTGCCCTATCCGTGGTGCTGACCACCGGTCCTGCCAGGAGGCCACTCTGAGGCAGGTCTAGCCAGCCCGGTACCTCCTACTCTCATCCACTCTGAGTGGGCGCACAAAGGCGGGCAGGTGAGACGCCAGTGGTGTGGCATTTAGCTACACATTTCATTTTCATAACGACCTTCCTGTTTTCCCTCTCAGTCTCGCCTGTCAGTCTGCGACCATTAAATTCCTCATTAGCAAATGAGATTTGGATGAGCTCATTAAGATGAGGGATAGTCCCAGGGTGCAGCTGGCTGGGATGGGGGAGCTAGAACTCTTCATCACCTTTTTTTTTCTTTATTAAAAAAGAATGTGCCTGGCATTCTGTGCATCCCTCTCCAGGTTCACTGCCAGTCCCAAATACACCCCATGGGACTCTGGTGGGAGGGAAGGAGCTTAAGGCCTGGCAGGGGATGACAGAACTACAATGTGGCTGTTGACTCACATGTATTTTCAAGGTCACCCAATCAGGGACTGGGCTTTTGCCGCTCCACATTAAAGTTCAAACTCCCATATGTGACATTTGAACACTTCCTGGTCATGTTTCAGTCCCTTCTCCAGCCTGAGGTCCTATCCTCCTCATATGTCCCCTGTATTTGGGCAGTGGAGGAGGACTGCTTGCTGACGCAAGCTGGAACTGGCTCCTGCCAGCTCCTGGGGGTGCCCCTTACAAAGTCAAAAGTTTTGCAAGATAATGGACATCAAGTTGAAATGAGCCCTGATGGGGAACATTTACACTACGGGAATTGGCAAATGCTATGGACAAGGGCTTCAATCAGAGAGCTGTATTGGAAACAGTTGCCAACACCCCCTGTTTGAAGGCACCTGAACGTGGCACACACATGCATGTCTCCATCTTTGCCTTTTCCAGGCCTCCTCCCTCTGCCCAGAAGGCCTCCCTGTCCCTCTTCTCTGCATGCTGAAAACCCAGTCACTCTTTGAGGCCCCACCAAGGAGTCCAGCCCCTCTGCACCCCAACAGGGCAGGGATCTCACGCCAACCAAGACTGCTCATCCTGCTCATCTGCCTGAGGGGCCTTCTGGTTGCCATTTTTGGAAACCAGCTCAAACTAGCTAAAGGGAAGACAAGAAATACGTGGGAAAGGAGATGAGAAGTAGGGATCGCACACTACCCAGGGCAGAGAGCCAGCTGGCCTCCAGAGATGAGGGGACCAGTCAGTGACGGCTGCTCTTTCTCTGGGGCCCCCTAGTGGCTGACTCTGCCCACACCTTCCCACTGTGGCTTCCCAGGAGAAGCGCCCCCTGCCCTATAGTTCGCAGGAAACCCCAGGCCACTGAACCGCAAGCAGCCTGAGTTCCAGTTCCAAATTCAGCACTGTGCTAGGTTTATGCAATCATCTGAGGCCATGATGTTGGGGTCCCAGGGTCCCAGGTAGTGTCACACAGCCACGGCCTCCAGCAGGCACTGTGGGGCTGGTTCTGAGAAGGACAGAAGGCACAGCTGGAAAGCTGGCCCATCTCCCATCCTGGAGGGCAAGCTCCATGGACATGTGTTTATTCCTTTCCAGCTCCCTCTTCCTGGCACAGAGTGGGCAGTTAACAAATACTGTAAAATAAATGAACCACCTCAACTTTGGCTCTACTCTCAGCAGCATATGACCCAGATGGGCACTGAAGGAAGAGGCAGAAGACTTTGAGGAATTCCATGGGCTAGAACTCCACATGCAGGTAGTGAGACATCTTTGTCTTCCAGTTACTAGCTGTGTGACCTCGGCGGAGACACTTAACCTCTCTGTTCTTCTGAGACCACATCTGTAAAATAGGGATGTGACCTTGCCTAACTTGGGTGAAAGAAGTGATCTTCAGTGGCACAGCTGGCGTGGCTGACACACAGTGGGCACTCAACACAGGGATGGCTTTTGTCCCCTGACCTATCCTAAAATCACAGAATGGGGTCCCTCACTGCTCTCGCCATAGGCTTTCTTCCTGGGTCTGATGTGATTCTGTCAGCCACGCACTCTGACCCTCTCCCAGCTCCACAGGTCCCTTTTCTGGGGGTGAAATCCTAAGGTGAGGCCCTGCGGACAGCCAACCACATTGGCTCCTCCCCAGAGCCTGGGCTGACGACTTCCGGTGCCATCATTCACAAGCCAACCGCAAGTGTCCTGCTCCATGACAGCAGCTCACTGTCAGGCCAGGCCTGCGAGGGAGTTCAGAGCGGGAAGGTGAGAAGAGACTGAAATGGGAAGGGTACGGACTGACCCAGCTGGCGTCCACCCCTGCTCCTCCCTGGGCCCAGGCTGACTCTCGCCAGCGGCCACAGGCTGGGGGAGGGAGAAGGCCCTGTCCAACTCCTGGCTGATCCTGACAGTCACACCCCCAGAATCCTTCTCCAAGACTCAGCCACGCGGGAGGCTGGTGAGGGCCACTGCTGTCGCTTGCCCCTCCTTCTCCAAAGCGTGTGCTGATTCCTGGGACCCAGGGCCTTGCAGTGCCGCCGGCAGCGTTCAGAGAGAAACAGGGGTGGGGAGTGCAGGCGCTGGCTCCCTCCCTGCCAGAGGCAGGTACAACTCCTGCGTCCCTGAATCCAGTCAAGATTAGCACAAATTCGCACACACCAGAGAAGTAAACAGAAAGGAGGTGAGCACAGAGACGCAACACGCACCGGAACTGTGGGGCTTCGGGCCTCCCGGGAGGCGCGTGGTGCGGCTTCTTCCCCAGCAAATCCGGCTGTGGTGGGGGCTCGCATCTCAGTGCGCGCGTGCTCAGAGTCCAGGACCCGCGCGCGGGCACGAGGAGCCTCTAGGGGGCGCAGCCACGCCCCCGGAGCCCAGCTTCGGGCTACGCCCCTGAGGGTCGACTTCTCCTCCACGCTGTGGGAGGTGTTACGGGGCTCCGGTAATTGCTTCTGGGAACGCGGTGTAAATGTCCTGGGCAATGTAAATCAATCAAGGAAGCAAGCGCCCGCCCATCTTTCCCGGATGCCTAGGGGCGTGGGCTCCGCGGGGTGCGGGGCGCAGGAGCTAAAGGTCTGGCCCGGAACGGGCACGAGACAGGGAAGGGCCCCTGGGGGCTGGTGGGGCGCTGGCCTGAAGGAAGGGACTGGTGAGTCGGCCTGACCTCTGGGGGCTTCTCTGTCTTGGGCATGGGAGAGACAGTGACACACGGCTCCACCTCCAAGAAGACCCCATGAGCCTGTTGGTTCCGCAGCGTGGGGTGGCCTGAGAAGGGAGAGAGGAATAGCGGAAGGAAGGAGGAAGGAGGGAAAACAGCCACCTGCCTGAGAGCTGTCCTGGCTGAAAGTCTGGCCGCACAGCACAAGCTTGTGGGGTCTGCTGATCTGCCCCTCAGGCCAGTGATCACAAGAGAGTCCCTGGTGTCAATCTCCCGGGCCTCTGTGCTTTCCCTCCTGGCTTCCTGCACCCACTCACACCTTCAAAACCAGTCCCTTTATTACAGTTATCTTCAAGCCACCCAGAATCGCTGGCCTCAGTTTCCCACCAGGACCTGGAAGGCCTCCGGGGTGGGGGTGGGGGGAGCACCCACACTCCTGGCCCCAGGAAGCTGTTGCCCCAACCCCTGGAGTGAGGAGCAACAAGGAAGGTGAGCCAGCAATCCACTCGCACACATATCCCTCCTGGGGATTCCGGGCCAGCTTTCTCCCCCACTCCTAGCCAGAACTGGCTGGCCCTGGTAGGGCACAGAGAGGGGTCATGATCACTCAGGCCTCCCCACGGTGGCCAGTGGCTTGAAGGACAGTGCAGAGCAGCTTCAGGGTCTCTCACTGTAGGGTAGGCAGATGGCATGGATGTCCAGGGGTGGCCAGCAGGTCTGACACAGACTCAGAGAGAGAGGGAAGCAGAAGCTAGACAGGAGCCAGGAGTGAATGGACACTCAAGGACAAGGACTAGGGGCAGCCGGGCCAACTGCAGGCTGGAGGCCTCTCTGTGGGGTCACCCACATGCCCTGCATTGAGGTGGTCATCCACTTCATCCTGCACCCAGAACCTCATCTAGCCCATAGCACACCCTCCATCCTGGCATCCTCCCCAGCAAGGTGGGAGCTTGCCCACACCCCCTGCCCCTTGGGCACAGGGGCAAGCCTGGGAGTGACAGGCCCAGTGACTGGCCACCAGCCCCCCAGGGGTCCCAGCCTGGCAGAGGGGCCCACCACTCATCAGACATCAATGCTGATGTGAAGAGTTGCCTGGCATTCATGCTAGGGACACGAACGCCTCATGATTTACGGACTTTAATTTCCCCAGATCCTGAGTCGTGCCCCTTCTCTGCCTCTGGCCTGTCAGGGTGTTTATCTCCCAGCCCCCTTCAGACCCTCTCCCCCTCCCAGTTTTTTAATTTGAAGCATCTGTCTGGAGCTTCTGGAGGTGGGGACATCTGCAGTACTCAATGCATTACACACTGACAGCTCTATTGATTTTCTCTCTTGCACTGCATAATGCAAGATATATACAAGCGAAAGGCTGGCCCCTGTCCCTTACTTTGAAGGGACTGTGCCCTTTTTCTTTCTCACTCTAACGTCCCCGCATCCTGGCACATGTTGATATATAGGAAGGGTGTCTGTCCCTGATGCTCAAGATGAATTCCCCCCGCCCCAGTATTACTCTCCTCCCTGCTGGTGGACGGGCCTCATCTATCCTTTATGTGGTAGCAGATTGGACACCAGGGAAGCAGATCATGCGGGGAAAGGGGCCAGTGGGGTGGCAGGGAGTTGAGGAGGTGTTCTCTGTCAAGACCAACTGCCCAAATGGAGGAGCCTGGCTGCGGCTCTCTGAGGGGTCCTTGCTGGCCTCGCCAAGGTTTGGGCACGAGGATCCTCATGCTAAGCCTCCAGATCTTGCCTCAGACTCCCGTCCCACGAAGAGTCACAGAGGCAGCTGCCAGCTCATGTGCCTCTGTTTCTCATGCCCTCTGCTAGGCTGCACAGAGTCAGCTGTGCTGGCCTGACTTATGGTGGGAACTAACACCCTCCTCGGAAAAACAGAGGCTCAGAGATCCCAGGGTATTTGTTCCAGATCTCTGCCGGAGGCGGAATGTGAACCCAAGATGGCCAGTCTCCAGGAATGGTGTCCCTCCTGCTCTATCCCACTGCTTCCTACGGGCAGACCACTCAGATTGAAGCTACCCAGCCTAAGTGCTCCTCTGCTCTCATCCCCTGGACCCTCTTCGTGTTCCTGCCCCACCCCCATTATGGATGGCTCCCTAGGTTCCCCTTCCGGTCCCACTGGGAGTACTTACCCATGTGTGGCCCTGCTTCTTCATCACCCCTTCGACTCATCTATGAGTTTCCTGAAATAGGAACAGTCAGGGACAGGATCTTACTCATGTACCTTTGCCACTTGCCCAGAGCTTGGCACAAAGATGCAATGAATGGATGCTGCTGTGGAAGAGAAGGTGCCCGGCACGGTACCTGATCCGCAGAGGAAAGCCCGAAAAGTGGACGGAACCCCTCTAATCAGCGAGGAAGGGGGGGGGGGCAGTGGGTGCTGTTTGCTCTCTTGGGCACCTTAAAGGCGGGCTCCGTGCCTTTTTCCCCTTGTCCCTCACCACACACATAGACAGGCTGCCAGCTGGAGGAGGTGTTACAGACAGGCGGGGCTGAGCAGGTCCGCCCGCCCACCGCGAAGACGAGGCGCCCAGCCAATGGCACTGCGCCATGCTTACTGGCGACCATAATTGGCCACGCCCACCTTAGCAGCTCCGGATGCCGGAGCAGAGGTGGCCAAGCATAGACTCCTACGGAATCCCAAAAGAAGGCTTTGAACCCATAGGCTAGGCGCACACACAAGAGGTAGCTGGAGAGTGCACAGATGGTGGCCTGGGCCCAGAGATGACCTGGATAGGCCCAGAACAGGCTCCGCGTAGGGAAGTTCCCCAGAGATAGAGCATTTGCCTACCTTATTTATGCCAGGCTTTGGGTTCCATCCCAGCACTGCAAAAGAAAAAATGTTAATCGATTAAGTAATTAATTAAAAAATAAAATGCAAGCTCAGAATAGGGACACCTTTTATAATACTATACAATCCCTTGGGTTGGGCCACCAAATCCCAGGGGATTTCAACCCTCCTGGGGATGTTCGGCAATGTCTAGAGTAGTGGTGGCGAACCTGTGGCACGCGTGTTACTTGTTTTTCTTTTCAGACAGAAGTTGTTAATGTATGAGTTGTTTTTTCTAAACTAAAACCTCAGGATTCAGGTTTAATTGCAGGGTTGGCACTTTGCGATAAATAAGTGGGTTTTGTGTTGCAGTTTGGGCACACGGTCTCTAAAAGGTTCGCCAGCAGTGGTCTAGAGCCCTTGGGGAAAGGGGCAGAACAGACGATTGAACCCAAGGCCTTCTTACTGAGCTTCTCATTCCCAGCGTGTTTTTCGTTTGTTCGTTTTGGTTTTGAGACAGTCTCACTAGGTTGTTCAGGTCGGACTTGACCCTTTGATCCTTTAGCCTCAGCCTGCCTGTTTGCAATACAGAATAGGGATAATCACTTTGGGAAATTGGTACATGCATATCACATATCTTGATCATTTGCAGATCCTTTACTGCCCTGTTACAGTTTAGATCTAAGATGTTCCCCAAAAGTCTCAGGTGTCTGGCAGGTGACTGGTTCACCGGGGCGCTGTACTCATCAGTGATTCACCCACTGACAGCTCACAGCTGAGTGCGCCTTTGGGAGCTTGGTCTGGTTGGAGGTGTCGCTGGGGCGTGGCCTGGTGGGGGGCGTCACTGGGGGCGTGGCCCAGAAGGGTGTGTTCCTTCCTCGGCCCCTCCCTCCTCTCTCTGGCTGCCCTGGGTTGAGCAGCTCTTCCTCCGCCATGCCCCTTTGCCAGCTGTTTCTACCTTGGAGCCAGCCAAGCACGGACTGATCTGAGAGCCAAACTAAATCTCTCCCCCTTTAAATCGCAGGTGTTGGGTATTTTGTCCCGGGGATGGGAAAGTAATTAATACACCCTCTCTTTTTCGTCCCCCCCCCACCCCGCCCCTTTCCCATTTCCAGGGACTACCTTTTAATTCATTTTCTAGCTCTCCTTTATTTTGTTCATTATTTATTTGTATTTTAAGCTTCTCATGTAAGAGGAAATCATGCTATATTTGACTTTTCGAGTCTAGCTTATTAAGCTTAGCATGATAGTCTGGAGTTCCATCCTTTTTCTGCAGACAATAGGATTTCTTTCTCTACGGTGGAATAATATTCTGCTGTGTCTATACCGTATTTTCTTTACCTGTTCATCTATTGACGGGCATCTAGGCTGTCTCCAGAGTTAGCTATTGTGAATTCTTCACTATAAACATGGGTATGTTTGTGTCGTAGAGACATTTTTGACTGCCACAATAGTGAGGGCTGCCTTCAACTGGTAGAGGCCAGGAATGTGGCTAAAACTCCTCCAGCGTTCAAAACAGCCCCACTTTCCACCCCACATGGTGCGATCAGGCCCAGGAAAGGGGTGTTGGTGGCACTGTGTGTGAGAAACCCTTTGCAGCCTAACCAGCCATGCTCTCGGGCTCCCAGCTCTGCCGCACAGGACCACCCAAGTGGGGCTCAGCTCTTTAGGGGTTGGTGGATGGGGGTACCCAGCACTGCTGTGCTCACCGTCTTAGGTTCCAAAAGAACTCCACATTTGGCCCCTCCTTCCTGCCTGCCCGCCTTCTCCAGCTCACCAAGTTTAGGGAGAGGGGCTGGGGCCAGCACAATGGGAGTGAGCCAGGGCTCCTGCTGACCTTGGCTTTGGGGAGGGGGGGCGTTGCACCCAGGGCCTTTGCACTAAGCCACAGCCCTAGCCCTTTCTTAAGTTTTTCTTTGAGATAGGGTCTCTTATTACAGGCGTGTGCCACCAAGTGTGGCTGACCTTAAGTATGTGTTCAATCTAAGCGTCCCAGCAGCCCTGGGAGGATAGACAGAGGAGCAGTCTACCCTCCCAGACCCCCAGAAAACACAGCTTTAGAAACTAGGAAGCCAGGGCTCCAGAGATCACGCTAGTTGGTGAAGGCTGTGGCCCTGGAATCCAGATGATGCTTCCCATGGCTGGGAGGGGGCTCCTGGTTCTCAGACCCAGCCCAATGCCTCTCAGCCTCTCCTCCCACCCCCAAACCCTGTTCACCTCTCTTCAACCCCACAGGACTTCCCGCCATGCCCGGAAACACCCCACATTCTCCTGACTGGGAGAAAATAC